AGGAAGTAAACTGTAAACGTCCAGCTTTCACTCTTTCCGAACTACGGCAGAATTTCTGGTTTCGATCATAGTGCCACCACTGGCTATTACAAGTCATATCCCTTCTATGTCCCCCCTATTGACCAATCAGATTCCGCCTCTCATTTCACTTGCATTTGCTTCAAACAAAATGGCAGTGCCCTGTCAAGATGATCTGATCAAGATCAATATCTATTTTGTAATAAAACGAGATTATTTCGCAGAGTGCATCAAATTAGGTGAGCACCTCGATTAAAAACATGAAAGGATTTGGAAAATATCTGTTGACCCTAAGTTGATGGTGCACATGCTTTGTAAATCATGCAATCGATCGAAATCTGCAAGGCAGTTTACGAACCGGAAGTTGATTTCGTGACGTGATTTTGATTGGACTTTGTACAGACTCGACAGTCCAGCCAAAATATAACTCCATAATTCCAGCCTAGTTCGGCAAGGGTGGAAACTGGACTTTTATAGTCCGTTAACTCCCTTGCCTCAGGAAGATGATGTCAAGCTGGAATGCTATGTCATGACTTTTAAACTTAGTGCCACTTTTGCCTATAGTATTGCAGATATCTTTCTATCTTATAATAGGGGGCACGGGTGGCCCATTCGTCTAAGGCGCCGCGATTTGCTGTGCAGAGTTGCGTCCCTTAGGCACGCCAAAAACCTATGATTGTGGGTTCGAATCCTGGTTCGCCCCAATTATGTTTCAAGGTTTGTCAGCACCATACCCGTGCTCGTGGGTTTCACTAAAGTGGTAAACATCTTAGACCTGCATCATTTCGTGCTTTCCTCCCACATTAAGCTGACACGCCGTGATATAACTGGAATAATGTTAAAAGCGGAGTTAAACCCAACTCACTCACTCACTCTATCTTGTAATAACCTCTTGGGAGGTTTTAGTTCTTCCAAGTAAGGCCTAGTATGAGGTTTAGCTTTTTTCAGGTAAGACCTGATGATTTTAGTAGCAGATGGAATTTGGTTTCCAACGTCCAATGATCTAAAATCGAAGACAAGAAATGAAACTGTTTCATTATAGATGACGGGAATCGAACAGCAAACTCACATATCATGTTATGTTTTGTAACCCACTGTTTTCCCACTGAGCCACCAGGTCAGGTGGTGAAAGAATGTTCAATTTTAGATGTCATGACTTAGTTATGTCTATTCTGCACGTTTCTTCTCTCGCACGCTTTGATCGCATTCCTTTTAAACCGTGAAGCACTGTATTGTTTCACCATAAGATATCTCATTATTTCTTGCATTCAGACAGTTTATCAGTGAGATAAAGCACTCCTCCTCGGTTATGGTTGAGGAGTAAGACCTTGGCAATCGGGTATCAGTAATGTAATTGCTGATACCCTCTTGCCTCGTTCTTACACCTGGTTAGCAGAATTTGAAAACAAAATATCAATGTCTTAAATGATAATCAAACTTAAGATCATATTTGTCAAACCATTTAGCCAAGCAGGTGATAATGTTTAGATTTATAGCATTGAACAAGACCAAATGTGAGCAGGGCTCACTAATACTCCCGACTTCGACTCCAACATACTTCTAAGTTTAAAACATGAAAATAGCAATTTTCTCAGAATACCGCTTCTATTCGTATGGAAATTGTACCCAAATTTTGAAAAGTATCCATAAAGTATTTTTTAGGTAAAAGGTCACACAAATGTTTAAAATTAAAAAAGATGTATTTTTTTCAGAAAATCCAAATATTGAAATCAAACTTTGCACTGCCCCTCTCCTATAGGTATAAAAGGTGTTAACCAGGTTTGAAAAGAATCTATATGGTAATTTGCAAGTCATAGATCAAGCAAAAGGACAAATGAACGGAATTCCTTGGTATAACTATATACCCCCATTAAGCAGTGTTAAGGTTTGGGGTATAATGAAATGCAATGTTGATATACGGGGCTAAAAAAACTCTGAAGTTATGATAACAACAACTTTTAAAAATTCGCAAGTTTGAAGTAATATATTCATTTTTCTCAATACACTATCCCTGAGTAATTTACATATTAAGCCAGCACTTATTGAGACACAGAGACTTTACTGCAATTCAAGGCATGGTATACGGATAATACCAGTATACTGGCTTAAATAGTGTGAGTGTTCATTCTCAATGAACATAATAAAATAGATTTATTGACACAAAGCCAGAGTCTAACCACACCTAAATCCCAGCACGAGTGATCCTACGCCAGAATGAACATCATTAGTGCCAGTCAGCTGACTAGCCCCTGATTGACAGGTTTGAAATAGATCACTTCCTGAAAAGTGTGTGCAGGCAGCACGCTGGCTACGGAGTGTGTCTATATCAACACATGCTATGTCAGCAAGTGACCCCCCAGGAACACTCACTGCTGGGGGCACAGTGACATAAACACACTTAAATATTTTGTAATCATTCGTTGATGTATCCATACTGGGAAATTAGCGTGACAGGATTTGTGGCTAATTCACCACTGCGTCAGTTTCTCAAGATCGCAGTGGTTTATTTCATCAAATAAAATTTATGGAACATTCAGATCACAAATTAACTTTAATCTTGGTCTGTATTTAAGAATGACTGTCCCATCCACAAACTTTGGTGTCATTTTGACTGTTCTAAACACGATTACCGTATTTGACGTTTTAAGAGCCTTGCTCCATTTAGCATGTTTAGTGTCCATCTTCCTGAGGCAAGGGAGTTAACTTACTATAAAAGTCCAGTTTCCACCCTTGCCGAACTAGGCTGGAATTTCTGGGATCGTTCGTAGCACCACAAGTGGCTATTATGAGCTATGTCCATTCTATGTCTCTCCTATTGACCAATCGGATTCCACCTCTCATGTCTCTTGCATTTGCTTCAAACAAAATTGCAGCACCCATGCCTGCCATAAAAGGTGACTATGCTTGTCGTAAGAGGCGACTAAAGGGATCGGGTGGTCAGACTCGCTGACTTGGTTGATGCATGTCATCGATCCAATGATATTGCTCATGATATTGATCACTGGATTGTCTGGTCCACACTCGATTTTTTACAGACCCTCGTCATATAGCTGGAATATTGCTGAGTGCTGCGTTAAACAACAAACCAACCAACAAACTTTATTGTAATAAAACATGTCTTACTTTGCAAAGTGCATCAAATCACTTGAGCACCTTGATCAGAAACATGAAAGGATTTGGTAAATATCTGTTGACGCCGAGTTAGTGGTATATATGCTTTACAAATCTGGCAATCGACAAACCAATACAGTTCAACAAGGGTGGAAACTGAACTTTTTAATCAGTTAACTGCCTTGCGTCGGGAAGATGATAAGCACCCCTCCCCTACCTCCGTCCCACTTCTAGACCAATCTGTCAGTAATCTTTATAAATGTTCCCTATTAAGACCGAAAATGTAAGTGACAGTCTATTATTTCTTATGTACAATACAGATTCATCGATGTTTGAATAAGGTTTGGGCTCTACCGCTCGATCTCTGAAATAAATTTACTTATGTTTATGGTTCTAAAAAGTGCCCCACTTTGGTAATTTTGTTAGCACCTGGAGCACTTATTACAGAGAATACAATATATATGCTTATGGTCCCAAAACACTTCAGGATTAAAAATTAATGCTAGTCTGTGACAAGTATTATTTTATAACACCACAAGTGGCTATTATGCTTATGGTCCCCAAACACTTCAGGATTAAAAATTAATGCTAGTCTGTGACAAGTATTATTTTATAACATCTAGTATGTAGAAGGCTTCTAGGATATGACGAGAGTTGATGGCATTGATGACATGTTCAATCTCACTTAAAACTATATTTCACCCCATTCATATTGAGTGACAAGAATATCACCAGCTGTTTGAGAACAGTTAAAAAAATATTCTGGCTTCTCATGCACTAAAGCATCTTCCTCTTCAAGGTTTTGTTACCGTATTCAACGTAATAAGCACCCAGGGCGCTCTCAAAATTAGAAATAGGGGGCTCTTATTAGAATATTATTTTGGTTTGAAAAATACAGAGTTGAAAGATAAATTTCATGGTTTATGGTGACATCCTGAAACGTTCATGTACGACAGATATATTTATCCAGAATTTAATTGCCCATAATTAAGGGTGCATATAACACACAAGTGTGTATTATACGCAAATAAATAAGTCTTGTGTACATTGATCAATCGGAAGGGGTGCTAATTGGGATTGTTCACCAGCCAATATATCAGCAAATATCGCTGTGGGCGCTTATTAGAGCGGGGTGCTTATTACGTCGAATATGGTATTACTTAAAGACATGTACAAAATGTATAAGTCACCACAAATAAGCATTCACATTAGTTATAACTTAAACTGTAATAGCATGAATTGGGAAATTTTGAATTCGCATACTGACATTTGATTCAGATTTGGGGCCAAATATCAAAGAAGGATTGAAGAGATAATCTTGATGTCTATGAATATTAAGGTTTCACACGCAAGTTTCTTGATTTGAGTAATCAAACTATGAAAGTTATGAAGATGCATGAAATTTGCTGAGGTGTACCAACTGATTTGCGCCTCGGTCTAGTTCTCCTTTAACAAGGACTAACTTATAAAGTGATAAAATAAGGAATCATAATGATCATCAATGACTAATTATCATCATCATCATAAAATCCAATCATTGGTTTGACAACGGAATATAAAAGTAATCATTCATCATCATCAGATAATCCCCTCGCTGGTTTGGCCACGGGATATGAAATAAATCATTCATAATCATAAGATAATAAAAGTACAAATTTGACTACAGATATGAAACGAATCATTCATCAGCATCATCAGCTTTGAACACAGATATGAAACGATTTCATTCATCATCATCTGATAATCCCAACACCGGTGTGACCACGGCTATGAAACGAATCTTTCAGCCATGACAGAAATCTGAGAAACACTTGTCATGTCAAAATACAATCAAATAAAAGGGTCATAGAAAAATCACAACAAAAACTCACCTCAAAGAGCTTGACAAGTGAAGCATTGTGAGCCTTAGAAGAAGCCCGTCTTGTGGTTCGCGACGGAGCTGTAGAATGGCCTTCGTGGTCGTCGGGAGGGGTAGCTTGGCTGTTTCCCATAGTCAACGAATATCGCAATCCAAGTTACTTCAGAAGAACACCTCAAACACGCGTGACAACTATCCCGGACGTTTCAACGACCTCCTCATCGCTAGACTGAGTGTTGTTATCTGTGCCAGACCCAGTGCCAATCCGGAAGTCCCCGTACACGGAATCACAATCGGAACTGACTCGTATCCTCTACTAATTTCAGAGTTTACATAAAACGTACCGAGCCGTATTTCCCCGAGAATTTCCGACTGTCGTAACCCGGAAGGGATTGCCGTTGATAGTAGTATCACAACAACTATATATAATAGACAACGGTTGTCTGTTGCCAAAAATGTTTCACAAAAATGATGAGGAGACGCAAAAAAAAGTGATCAAAACTGTCCTCATAAAGTGCGCAAAATTTTGTATATTAATATATATAGCAACAAAGTTGATCACGAGTTTATTCTAGTTAAAGAATTTTGCATATAATTCAAGTTATGTCCAGACTGAATATATATTAAAAAAAACATTTCTCCGTTTTAGCCGGTTATTGGGGACTCTCTAGTATCTACAATAAATGTCTTTGAATAATTACGAGAATAAATGTCGAAAGAGGACTGGGATGTAGCTGGGTACCTATATAAAATAGTCTCGTGTTTTTAAATTGCCTGGATGTAATGGTCTTGATTTTAGCTCAGTACGTTAAGACTATCGTATTCCTAAATTTCAATTTCATGTTCAAATTTTGTTACATGCATATACACTAATCAAAATAAAGTTGAGGATCACCCGATTCTTTCATATCACTACAGTTAATCTGTCATCACAAGACATAAAAACTATAGTAATACGAAAGACTCGGGTGCTCATTAACTCTTTTTGAGTAATTTAATATTCCACACATGTGTACAGCTTTCATTTTCAAGAGAAATAAGAAAAGTGAGATGTGACTTTCTTTTTTACACTTTAAAAAGACATCTAGTTGTTCTTGCCACTCTTGATACTTTTCAGTTATCAATAATTAATTATTATTTATTAAGAAGAAATGTCGAGAAATATAATCTCCCTTTAAAAGTTTTAAATGAAGACGAATTTCAGGTATGTTTGTTTGTGAAAAATATAGATCCCTCAGAGAAATATATTTCATAATTGAATTGAACATAAAACGAACCTTTCAACATCTATGTCTTAAACTCAAAAATAGATGATGATATCTCTCACTGTTGTGCATATCCGCCACTCAAGTGTCATCCGCATGTCATTTAACCAGCTAATATAAATCTTATACAAGCCATGCGGCCCAGATTTGGGAAATGTCTATTAGTTTGTTAATAGATGCATGTCTGAATGTACGTTAAATCTGTATATTTATCAAAATCCTGACAGACAGACTTTTTTTCATGTCCTCATGGCGAATACTAGTTTGTATTAGATATGAACGTTGTACACATGTCTCAGTACGCACACTCACACACACTTAATATTCAACAACCCATGCTTGTCGTAGACCCGGGGTAGAATAGGTCTTTAATAACGAATACTTGCCGTAAAAGGCGACTATGCTTGTCGTAAGAGGCGACTAATGGGATCGGGTGGTCAGGCTCGCTGACTTGGTTGATACATGTCATAGTATCCCAATTGCGCAAATCGATGCTCATGATGTCAATCACTGGGTTGCCTGGTCCAGACTCGATTATTTACAGACCGCCGTCATATAGCTGGAATATTGCTGTGTGCGGCGTTAAACAACAAACAAACAAAGTGACTAAAGGGAGAGGGTGGTCGGGCTCACTGTTTTGGTTGATGCATGTCATCGTATCCCAATTGCGTAAATCGATGCGCGTGATGTGATGTCAAAGGAACCACAATTCGTTGTGTAGAGTTACGTCCCTTGGACATGCCAGGAACCCGTGATCGTGGATTCGAATCCCGATTATGTTTCTAGCTTTTCAGCACCATACCCATGTTCGGGAGGTTGGTAAACGTCTAAGACTTGCATCACTTCGGGTTTTCCTCTCACATTAAACTGACACGCCGTGATGTAACTGGAATACGGTTCAAAGCGGCGATAAACCCAACTCACTCAAGGGGGGGGGGGGGCACGGGTGGCCCAGTCGTCTAAGGCGCCGCGATTCGCTGTGCACATTTGCGTCCCTTGGGCACGCCAAAAACCTATGATTGTGGGTTCGAATCCCGGTTCACCCCAATTATGTTTCTAGGTTTGTCAGCACCATACCCGTGCTCGTGGGTTTCACCGAAGTGGTAAACGTCTGAGACCTGCATCACTTCGGGCTGTCCTCCCACATTAAGCTGACACGCCGTGATATAACTGGAATACTGTTCAAATTGCGATAAACCCAACTCACTCAAGTATCCTATAGCAGAGTCCCAACAACGCAGTGGCAAATTAAAGGAACATTTCATATCCATGTGTCACGCGGAGCTGTACGTGTGCGGTAATAATCACCTCGAACTCGACCACAACCACAAGTGTGGATATAAGGGAAAAAAATACATGAGGTTGTTCTTTGTAAATATTGTATAGCAGGTACATATGTGGCATGAGGTGTGAATTCTTGAAAAAGCTATTGGGTCAAGTTAATTCACACGACATTACACCATAGAAATGTATTAGAATTTTCAGTGTCGATAGACCTATTAAACGTCTTATACAAAAATATAAGTATTTATTATGTAATTTGATTAAATACTCCATTTATCTGAAAAACATATTCCCCACATGGGTACAATGTGTGAAACCCATTTCTGGTGTTTTGGGCGATTTTGCTGGGATATGCTAAAAGCGGCGGAACACATTACTGACTCTCAACACAAAATGGATCTTTCACACTTGACTTTTCTTGTCAAACATGTTATGAAAACTCAAATACACTCTATACACACACACATATATGACCCGTGAAGATCCGGGGTAGAATAGATCTTAGAGCAACCCATTCTTGCTGTAAAAGGCGACTATGCTTGTCGTATATGGCGACTAACGGAATCGGGTGGTCAGGCTCGCTGACGTGGTTGAAGCATGCCATCGATCCCAATTGCTTGGATCGATGCTCATGACATTAATCACTGGATTGTCTGGTCCAGACTCGATTATCTACAGACCGTCGTCATATAGCTGGAACATTGCTTTGTGCGGCGGTCAACAACAAACAAACAAAACATTAAATTCAGATATTTTACTCCAATACCATTGCTATCTGCATCAAGATCTGATGACAACTCCACAGAAGGTGTGTCAGGTGAACCCCGAGCAAACCTTGACCGCCGAAGGATGCCATTGAACCAATCAGTTGTCATCTTTCTAAAGTGATTGGGCTTCATTTCTTTACCACCTAGATTCGCAAATTTCGAGAGGAGCCGAGTGCGGCGTAAAACAACCAACCAACCAACCATCTATATCTATATATAAACTGATATAAAGAAGATGATGGACTAACGTGGACTTTATTATTTTATTATATATTACATGTACACCGAGTTTTTGTGTGTGTATATATATATATATGCGGAACGTCAATTGTCCATGTCCATGATATTCAGGAATAATCTTACAATGCACAGCCAATGCGTATAACCGCAGTGTAAATGTTGTAACATATTAAACGCTCGCATTGTGAATTTGCTTTTTGCATATAGTATCATAAATAACCTTTGATCACCATAAGGTGATGTGTTCATTGTGGAATAATTATTGCTTGTTAATGATTTCCAAACCTACGGGTATGTAATTCAGTATAGTAGCAAGGCGCTGTGTACAAGTGAGTGAATGTTGTTAAACGCCGCAGTCAGCACTATTGGAGCAACAATCGAGTCCGGATTAGATAAACCAGTGACTGAAAGCATGAACATCGAACCACATCGGGGCACGGTGACGCGAAGTCACCGAACCTTACAACCCGATCCAATTTAGTACATTCTGGAGCAAGCATATAGGTTCCTGGACCCAGCTCTACTCCGAGGAAACCCACAGGGAGACTTAGTGTATATAGACATTCATGTTTTAATAGTTCTGCAGTTCGGGAGCTGCTGACAGTCGTCAGACTGAGGCACCGTAATGATATATAGTGGTCCTGAGTTTCACCCAAAAGCGGGTATGGCATAATAGTGTAGGCGTGTCCACATAACGGCCGGTCGGGTAGCCTAGCGGTTAAAGCGTTCACTCGTCACGCCAAAGACCCGGGTTCGATTCCCGACATGGGTACAATGTGTGAAGCCCATTTCTGTTGTGCCCCGCCGTGATATTGCTGGAATCTTGCTAAAAACGGCGTAAAATCATACTCACTCACTCACCGCTCCCACATAAAGCTGACAAGTTATTCTGATCAAAGCGGCGTACGTTCTAACTCACTCACACACCAACTGAAGAATTGACTCTCCGGGCACGTCTATGCATGGGACGCTGTTACATCCTGTCTGTTCCTATCAGTCACGAAGGTGTCCTCCTCCCCACCCATCCAATCCCCACCCCCATCCCACCACCACTCCCCACCCCGAAGTCTCGGGTCTGTACCCCATATAGGTACAGCACTACGTTTGATTGGAGTGTGATTCAAGTCGGCGTACTGCTGGAATATTTGTACTAAGCGGCGTAGAACCCAACTCACTCACTCACTCAACCGATTCGAGTTAGTGAGTGAGTGAGTTGGGTTTAATGCTGCTTTCAACAGTATTCCAGTTATAACGCGGCATGTCAGCTTAATGTTGGAGGAAAGCTCGAATTAATGCAGTTCGGTGAAACCCACGAGCACGGGTATATGGTGCTGACAAACCTAGAAACATAATCGGGGCGAACCGGGATTCGAACCCACAATCATAGGTTTCTGGCGTGCCCAAGGGACGCAACTCTGCACAGCGAATTGCGACGCCTTAGACGACTGGGCCACCCGTGCCCCCAAACCGATTCGACTGCCTCCTTCTTCCGAAGTAATTGGGCATCCGGCATTCCACTTAATTTTTCTTACCATCAAATTTAACAACTCGTGTGTCATTGCAAGAAAATTAGACTGGGATTTTCACATCATCCATGGCAATACGGCTAAATACTTAATTGATTTGTCACTCTTTGCAAGAAAAAACAGATGAAAAATAAATTACGACTTTGAAATATTGGCATCCGCGAAAGAGATTAACAGTTCAAGGAATCCAGGATCCTGCACAATGGCATCCGGGCTCGGTATCCGGCGTCCCCAAAACGGGATTGGGCATCCACGTCAGAATGTCGGACACAAACATCAATCCCAAAGAGAGAGTACACACCAGTGTATAAATTGTATTTAACTTTTCCGGGTGTGGTGTCTGTAACTTAAATTATCCATATAATAACAAGGCTGTAGAAGTATTTTACCAACATGCGTATAGCTTTCTCAGACACTAAGCTAATATATATTAAGGGTGTAGACTGGAAACGTGTAATTTGCATAATCATCGATGCAGATGTGAAACTCTCGTATGAGTATACTTGTTTTGCTCGGTATAATCCATGTTGTGTCCTGCAGTACACCATTACATTTCATACACCCCGCCCTGTTCTTATTGATTTGGTTGTAGAAGCTTCATCTTTTCGGTATATTCATCACACGTTTTGTTGTTCTTGTTCCAAACTGTTGACATAATCTTTTCCTCCTCACCTCGTGTATGTTTCAGATGTGTATCTAATGGAAAACGGCTAATATGTGGTATCAAGTATTATCACTTGAGGGATGAGTGTTGCACGTGATCCAACAGACGGTTGTTAGAAGAGAATCAAATGTTCTTAGGCAAACAGTATCGACGACCTTTCCTCGAGGCACTTGTTTCAGCGTATTCGTGCGCTTATGATTAATGGATCAGTGTTTTCCATTGTATTGTTAACCTAATATATCTGAAATATCAACACACAATGTGATTATAGCGTATCCAGTCTATGCAGGACTGGATCAACAATCAACACGAACATGTGTACATTTGGATGAACTATTTCGAACACCATTCTTGGCGGAATAAATGTATACATTAGTGGAGTTGTTCGGTCGGAATGGAGGCGATATGCCATCTTTGTAAGATGTGAAGTGGATAAAATATTTCCCCATAACAGTCTCCTTTTTCTAACCAGCCATGCCTCGATGTGAATTCTCAACAAGAATAATTCCTGCAACATGTGCATGGAGTTTGATCCTGGGGTGCACATCCCTGTACTTCGTATTTGTGTGAGTAATGAACCCATCACCTGGCCGAACTGTCTGAACCCGGCTTCCGAACTACAATCAACATTACATTTGTTGATATATATTGCCTCTTGAATGATAGAAGTATGTCGCAAGACACGTGCACGTGTAAAAGTGAAAATTACGGATGTATATCGTGTTATTTAGTTCGCCGGCTTTAACATGCCGTGTAGATACATGTATGACGAAGCCTGTGGTCATTTCCTGTGATAAGCTTTAGAGTCTGGATTTGTCAGTAAAATATTTTGTACTTCACAGTATTTTAATATCCTGTTTTAAGTTTTAACAAGTTGTAATATGATTATATGTAAGACGTGTGACACTTTCGATGAGGTATTAATTCTAGCTTCCAAATATCTAACCCATGTTTCATAGTGACCCACCCTACCCATCATTTATTATCAGTGAAGTAGGCCTGTATAGATCACCTGGCACTAAGTTTGAGCTTTGATTTTTTTTGTAATTTTGCATGTCATGATGGACATATCCTCACAATTTACATTGAATACACATTTTCACACTACATCAGGCACCCAATAATGAGTGGGCCTGATACCATGGATACTGTCATCCATGGTGCTCTTATTGAACAGGTAGAAACTGAATGTGTATATTAATCTGCTCACATACACTGATTTCATATCCATCACATTATTGAACCATACAAGATGAAGACGATTGATTATGCGTGCAGATTAGTGCTGTATGTATTGGTTGAGAAGTCGATTAGTTCATACGAACGTACGGTTGACTCCAGTTCATCGGTTTACTTTGGTTCAGGTTATCAGCTATATCACAAGTTATATATGTTTGTATGATAAACAAAGATAATAAATCTAGTTAACATCAATTCATGAGATTGCACAATTGGAATCTTCAGTGGGGATACCGGGTTAGAATTCCTCTCCAGCTACCTATGCTGGTTGTAAGTTGGGTGGTCAGGCTTGGTGACATGGTTGATAGCAAGGAATGTTGCTCACAATATCGATCACTGGGTTGTCTGGTGAAGACTCAATTATTTACAGGCTGTCGTGATGTAGCTAGAATATTAAAATTTGTATCTTGATAAGACACCTCAGATATGCCTCTTGAACCTTTTGGGCCTATTACACTACATTTGCAAAATTTTAGTGCACCATGTCTACTATACCTGCACACCCAATAGAAAGAGAACATGCACCAACTAGTAGTGGGACGATACACCGATACATTGGTGGATCATGATATTTTGCACTTTTTCGTTACATGCATCGATCACATTCGCACGTTAAGAATTTCATTTCATCACTAATTAGAAGTGAAAATTAGTGTTGAAAATCATCCAATATGTATCACGATGCCATGCTCATGTTCCTATGCGTATCAAGATATATGCATGTGCTCTTATTTGTGGTGCGTAAGCCATCTTTTTCATAAACAGGATGGCCAAATACTCGGTACCTGGTACACTAACGATTCATAGTTGGCAGTGTCAGGTATGGCGGAATGGATGAATATTATATATTTACGTTTTCACTACTCATTTTCACTTGTAATTAGGGCTTGGTGTAACATTTATTAATGAATACATTTAAGGTAAGAATGGATACTTTTTACTTTGTGTGCGGTTGTGATCGATACTTATAGAGAAGTAAAAAATCGAGATCCACTGATGCATCGGCGTATCGTCCTACGATTAATAGCAGGGGTAGACTAAGACTCAGACTAACAGACCAGTGGTTATGTCTAACCCCGTATAGCGCCTCATCCGTGTCATTGCTGGGATGATCAATAGTCTTTGACAGTCCCTGACCCTGTGATATCATTAATGGTAATTACCCTAATGAGTGTGATGTAATCTGTCATCAGTCAGGGAAGGTCTTCACAACTCTTGCTGTAGCATGGTAATCAGTGAATGGGGATGGGTGAGTGGCCTCATTAGGCCAGATCCATTTTGTTTTGTCATTTCTATTTCTGCTCAGCTCGCTCATGAACCTTCTGCCTAATATCCTCCAGGGGTTCAGATAGATTCATTTTCCTGGACATTGACTGATTGTCAATCTCTTCAAATTCAGATCAAGAATAGGTCTCCAGCAACCCATGCTTGCTGTAAAAGGCGACTATGCTTGACATAAGAGACGACTAACGGGATCGGGTGGTCAGGCTTGCTGACTTCGTTGATGCATGTCGACTTCGTTGATGCATGTCACCATGTCCCAATTGTGTGGGTCGATGCTCTTGATATTCATCACTGGATTGTCTGGTCCAGACTTGATTATTTACAGACTGCCGTCATTTAACTGGAATATTGCTGAGTGCGGTGTTAAACAACAAATAAACACACCATTAAATTATGATATTTTACTCCAATACCATAGCTATCTGCATCAACAATGATCAAGATCTGATGACAACTCCATAGAAGGTGTGTCAGGGGAACCCCTAGCAAACCTTGACCACCCAATCTAACTGAAGGATGCCATTGAACCGACGTCATCTTTCTAAAGTGATGTGGCTTCATTTCAAATTTCAGTTCATATCTAAAACCACACAAATATTCCTTAGATCGACTTCCAGGGGGCACGGGTGGCCCAGTCGTCTAAAATGCTGCGATTCGCTGTGCAGAGTTGCATCCCTTGGGCACGCCAGAATCCTATGATTGTGGGTTCGAATCCCGGTTAGCCCCAATTATGTTTCTAGGTTTGTCAGCACCATACCCGTGCTCGTGGGTTTCATCGAAGTGGTAAACGTCTGAGACCTGCATCACTTCGGGCTTTCCTCCCACATTAAGCTGACACGCCGTGATATAACTGGAATACTGTTAAAAGCAGCGTTAAACCCAACTCACTCACACACTCACTCACCATGCTCACTAGATCGACTTCCTGCGGTGTGGATGCCATGTCACTCAGAAACAACAGAGTGTATAGCATATCTGTAAAAATATGTCAGGGCTTAATTAATACAACATAAACTGGTAAAGGAGAAAATAAAAAATGTGAAGACTCTAACCATTGTTTGCCATGTTTACTTTTGGAAGTTATGATTGAATGAACATGATGAAATTTTTAAAATATTTTTTTTTTGTGGTTTTATCAGCCATTAACACATGTTAGAGATGTCAACAATAATGTTTATTAGTCAGTACCTCCACTGGACATACAGGAGTACAAGTGACAGCTTTGTCTGTATGTGAATTTAATCATAATCAAGTGATGCGACTGATATTGTTTTGGATTTTGCATACTTGTAGAAATAGTGGTGGACTTTATACAAGGTGCAACTTAAGACATAAGGAAATGATAATCAGTCATGTGATATGAGGAAGTTCTATATAGGATTTGTTAACAGTATTAACTGTTTTGTTTAAGTCTATCAGAGCTACAGTTAAGCTGCATATTTGCGTAAAAAACCCCCCCCCCCCAAAAGAACAAATTTCAAAAAATTTCAAAACCCATTTACTTTAAAATAATGTAATAACCCAATTAAAATAGAAACCTCGAGTAAAAACTCAATTGCTCAAAAAGTTGTCTGGAGCTCTGGTCTATGAAAGTTACGATCCGCAGTCTGTGCCAAAAACTTTTGAGTCTACTGGCCAGAACCGTCATTTTCATTAAATTTAGTGTTATAATTATGTGGGCGATTATAAGCTGAGCTTACTACATGATGAGAACAAACAGAATTTTACTAGTTTTCGGAGAAGTGGCTAAAGTCGCAGGCTGTGTTTGTGGCAAATACGTTTGATTCAACCAGCCTACAAATGTATTTTGACATGATTTTCAGTCTATTTTAATCTTAGTTTATAGGCTGGTAAAATTTGATTTCCCTGCACCAGAAGTAATTTTATTTGACACTGGCTCCAGACTAGTGGTAAATAAAATGTTTAGGACAAAAACCAAACATTCAGAAATGTCATGTTTGATATTTGTTATGTGACGTCTGTGAACAGTTAAGGGATTGAACAAAACTAAAAGTAATTTCAGCTGTGGTACCGGCTAAACACTATCACCAGTCTTCGAAATTCACGTTAGGATCTGCTAGCCCAGGATTACTTAATTGATCTGATGACAAGTAGAAATCCAATGATGGTCTCCTCATAGTAGCATCTGAGGTTGTCCCAGTCGTCTAAGGCGTCGCAATTTGCTGTGCAGAGTTACGTCCCTTGGGCACGCCAGAAACCTATGATTGTGAGTTTGAATCCAGGTTTGCCCCGATTATGAATCTAGGTTTGTCAGCACCATACCCCTGCTCGTGGGTTTTCACCAAAGTGGTAAACGTCTAAGACATGATATAACTGGAATACTGTTAAAAGTGGTGTTAAACCCAACTCACTCATAGTAGCATCTGAGGGCTATTATTACGAACCAGTTCACAATACTTCAATTGCGCTACAAATCAGGGATACACATGGCCACGAGTCTGTTTGTCCAAGACAAGTCAAAATCAAGAATTAATACAGTTGTTAACTACCAAATATTAGCTCTTGTACATCAACCACTTGTCCAAACTGAGCTGCAGACTACTAGTACCGTATTTGACGTAATAAGCCCCCATGGCGCTCTCAAAATTAGAAATAGGGGGCTCTTATTAGAATATTATTTTGGTGAAAAAAAACAGTTGAAAGATAAATTTTGTGGTTTATGCTGACAGCCTGAAATGTTTATGTATGACAGATATAGTTTTGCAGAATTTAATTGCCCATAATTAAGGGTGCATATAACACACAAGTGCGTATTTTACGTGAATAAGTCTTGTGTACATTGATCAATCGGAAGGGGTGCCAATTGGTATTGTTCACTAGCCAATATATTAGCAAATATCGCTGTGGGGGCTTATTAGAGAGGGGCACTTAATACGTCAAATACGGTAGTTGGATTTGACCAACAGTGTCTACCCCTGCAAATTGGAACTGAATAGAACTGACAATGTATACAATTTGTCTTGTTCAAGGACGAGCTCCAAACTGAGGAATAGTGAAAGAGAGTTTCCACTAATCCTTTGGACTAGTCTTAGAAAGACAAATTTCCAAGGCTGGCCATAAAGAATATTCCGAATTAAGAATGTAATCCAAGATATTTCTCCTCATAACTTCAATAAACGAAATAATAAGAGATTAAAATACAATGGTAGGAACCTTACAGGTATAAAGAGTCCCGCAAAGATCCGGGTAGAATAGGTCTTCAGCAGCCCATGCTTGCCGTAGAAGGCGACTATGCTAGTCGTAAAAGGTGACTAACGGGATCGGGTGGCCAGGCTTGCTGACTTGGTTGATGCATGTCATTGATCCCAATTGCATGGATTGATGCTCTTGATATTTATCACTGGATTGTCTGGTCCAGACTGGATTATTTACAGACTGCCATCATACATGTCATATGGCTGGAATATTGCTGAGTGCGGCGTTAAACAACAAACTAACCAACCAAGAGGTATAAAGAAACAGCATGATCAATTTGCATCTAACATTGAGCTCTCTCTACACATGGTATAGAAACTTTGGAAACAAGAATGTGTGGGGAAGGGTTAAATACATGTGCTCCTAACATGCATAAATAATGATACCTCGATTGATTACCAGCTGCTCTGTGCAAGTAATTACGGATGGGTCTGTTTGGAGTTTGATTAAACATGCTGAAAAAGAAGGGGGAAAAATATTGAGTGCATGAGTTTGGTTTTACGCGACTTTAAGTTTGATGTGGGTAGAAAGTCTGAAGTGATGGAAGTGTCACACTTTGGTGCAACCCACGGACATGGCTGTGATGCTGACAAACCAGGAAACAATGAGGATAAACCATGATTCAAACTTGTGATCAAAGTGAATTGCAGTGCCTTAGACAACTAAGCCACCCGTGCCCTATTGTGCTTAAGTACAAAGAATGTACTGAAAACACAATGAAACATAAAATAAGGTGTTGCACCTTTATCTGTGTACAATTCACTGCTGTCTTTGATATGTCATAGGGGAACGGGTAGCCTAGTTGTTAAAGCGTTCGCTCGTCACACCGAAGACCCAGGTTCGATTCCCGACATGGGTACAATGTGTGAAGCCCATTTCTGGTGTCCCCCGCCGTGATATTGCTTGAATATTGCTAAAAGTGGCGTAAAACCATACTCACTCAATCACTTCGTGATAGGTCATAATTATGTTTCAAGATTTTCAACATGATAATGCTATTTTGATTGTTTTCGTTTGCAGATGCCGATATTTAATGAATACCAGTACCTACGCACTAGCCATCCCGGTGTATCAGGGAATATTGACAATATTTGTCTTGGCAAACCTCTTCTTGGCTACGTTTATGGACCCAGGAATATATCCAAAAGGTGGGTTCTGTATAAGTTATGTTGATATTTGTATCTTGAACATGTTGAACACACAATACATTTTGTACAGAATTAACATACGTATATCATGCATATTAGCATGTATGAGACAAATTTTGAGAATAAAAATCATTTGGGTCTAGGAGTCTCACAAAGCTTTGGGCGCAGACATTGTTGATGAAGACCACAAATACATGCTTACATGTTGCCTTGGCCAGTGGTAAGGATGTAGCTGTCACCCAGACCAGGCTCAGGGGAGGGGGGTTTAGAGCTAGGACTAGCATGAATTCATTAATTCATATGAGCTTTACTATGCATTACCATAAAAAATGAGAAATCCTTGTGATGGTTTGGGACGGGGTGGTCGGGTAGCCTGGAGGTAAAAGCGTTCGCTCGTCACGCCGAAGACCCGGGTTTGATTCCTGACATGGGTTAAATGTGTGAAGCCCATATCTGGTGTCCCCCGCCGTGATATTGCTGGCATATTGCTTAAAGCGGTGTAAAACAATACTCACTCACTCACTTCCACCCTTTGATACATGGGTTCTTGATTAGCTGGGAAACTTCATCCTGTGAGCCTGATTCTCATTTGACTAAAGCCATCATTTTCTCTCCACAGCCCATGAAGACGAAGCCAAAGATGATGACTTTAGGGCTCCATTATATAAAAATGTTGAAATAAAAGGTATAACAGTGAGGATGAAATGGTGCACAACATGCCAGTTTTACCGACCTCCTCGGTGTTCACATTGTAGTGTGTGCAACACATGTATAGAGGTGAGTTCTGGCGACATTAGCAAACTTTAGATCTGTTCAAATTATATTTTCATATGTTCCTGTGAAAACAATTTCGACTTCGTCTCAAATCGAGGGTAGGCTTTGTTACCAGGCAATAATAATAAGTGCATTTATAATGCGCCAGATTCCATTCACCAAGTGGATGCTCATAGCGCTACACTATTATTACCCCATGACTTGAAAACCTCTCAACATTTTTCAACAACTAAACTTTGTGTGTGCATTGCTCATCAGCTTAACTGGTGCCGTTTACTTTTTTCAAATCTTTCTAAATTTTATTTTGTTATGTTTCCATGGAAACAATTTGGTTTCAAACAACTCAACTATTGCCCTTTCAGATTTATCTGTTTCTATTTTTTTTAAATTTCGTGTTTCCATGGACAATGGAAGTAATTTGGACAAAGTCACAAATATGTTTGTTTCATGCCAATTCTCTACAGCTCATGAATATTTCTGTATGAAATCATAATCTTTACAGTCTGTAATTTGCTATTATTGATTTTTGGATTTGCAAACACATTTACAACACAAACAATTGTATCCAGAAAAAGGAAGGGAGGAGACATGTGTTTGAATAAAAACCCATTCTAGTTTATATTTGAGAAAGATTTCATATCTCATCAACTTTCATGGAGTATATTGTATATTGTACGTTTCTCAATTACTATACATGTATCATGTATGTGTGTGTCTGGTCCAATTTAATCCAGTTGAATAATTATATTGGAACCAACTCAGAGGTGCCTATTTATTTTGTTTTTGACTAATGAACTTTTCAATGAACTGAAACCATGTTTTGTTCTCTTTTCAGACATTTGACCACCACTGCCCGTGGTTAAACAACTGCATAGGTCGACGCAACTATAGATATTTCTTCCTGTTTCTATGCTCACTCTCCGTACATAAAGTTAGTATATTTTCCCAGTGCCTCGTCTTTATGCTGCATCACAAAGATGAACTGGATGCGCCAGGCAGTATTTGTGCGTATCCTTTTCTCGAGAACTTCGCCAAATGTTTGTTTTCCATTTAGAACCCCTTGAACCTCTTGAACCCCTTGAGGACAGGCAACATAGCACGTTATTGCTATAGATAATATGAAAAAAAAGGTGTTTCAGACAATTTAACGTTACCATGGCAATGAAGATGGGGAATGTTTTTGCTACATGATAATACATAGTCAATGTAGTTGGGTCCTTTGGGCGCGCCAGAAACCTGTGATCATGGGTTCAAATCCTGGTTTGCTCTGATTATGTTTCTACCTTTATCAGCACCATAGTGTGCTCGTGGGTTTCACCAAAGTGGTTTACATCTAAGACCTGCATCACATCAGGCTTTCCTCCCACATTCAGCTGACACGCACGGATATAACTGGAATACTGTTAAAAGCGGCGTTAAACCCAACTCACTCACTTATGAATGTTTTTGTACTTGTTCTGCATGTTGTTTCTTCCTATGAATGTGGGTGATCAATTTGAGATGGAGATGGAATATCCTACTTATAATGTTGTATATTTACTGTCATTATTTGACTTGTTGACATGACCGTTTTGGTGTTCTTAAATTTTTTGTGTTGCTGGAAACATAGTTCCCCTTGCTTCCCTATTTATGTGGAATTGACCTGCGAACTATGCCCTGTTCATCCTTCACCGGGGCGGTCGGGTAGCATGGTGGTTAAAGTTTTCACACGACACCGAAGACCAGGGTTCGATTCCCGACATGGGTACAATGTGTGAAGCCCATTTCTGGTGTCCCCCTCTGTGATATTGCTAAAAGCGGCGTAAAACCTCGCTCGCTCGCTCACTCACTCACTCACTCTCACTCACTCACTCACTCACTCACTCACTCACTCACTCACTCACTCATGTCCACATCATCCTGTTAGTCGTAAGAGGCGACCAAATGAATAAAAGATGGTGTGGATCGTGGCTTGCAATATCTGGTCCTGACTTAATTATTTACAGGCAGTCGTCATATAGCTGGAGTATTGCTGAGTGCAGTGTGTCTGCGGTGACCTATACTTGTACTAGAGGTCAGGTGGTCACGTCATCATATCCTGACTGAGTTTTTGTTTGTTTGTTGTTTAACGCCTTACGCAGCAACATTCCAGCTATAAGACAGCAGTCTGTAAATAATCGAGTCTGGACAAGACAATCCAGTGATTGACATCATGAGCATCGGTCTCCGCAATCGGGATACGATGACATGCATCAACCAAGTCAGCGAGCCTGACCACCTGATCCCGTTAGTCGCCTCTTACGACAAGTATAGTCGCCTTTTGCAACAAGAATGGGTTGCTGAAGACCTATTCTGACCCGGATCTTCGCAGGTTTCCTGACTGATCAATCAGTGGTTTGTCTGGTGCGAATTATTTACAGGCCGCCATCACTTAAGAGGAATATTGTAGATAGAAGCATTAAAAACAACAACCAATGTCCTTGACCTGTGTCCAGTATTGTAGTAATGTGTATAATTGGGCTGCTGATCATCCCGGTGGCAGGACTGACCGGCTTCCATATGGTGCTGGTGTCAAGGGGCAGGACGACTAATGAACAGGTGAGTCGCCAGGTAAAAACACTTTTACTTACACTTATGATGAGATATTGCAGCAGTCTGCCACTTCAGAAACACGTCCAAGCCTAAATGGAATAAACTTTCTTTCTGTCTGGAAAACTCAGCTCATTATACGTTATATATCATTACGTTAACATTAACGGATGTTAAAATGTTGTCAGTTGATGAGTTTGGCCTTGTCTCACGTTATTTATCAGTACGTTAACAGAAACGGATATTAGAAATGTCAGTAGATGAGTTTAGCCCTGTTGTCTCAAAACCTTTAGGCACAGACACTGTAGTAGTAAGGGAAAATATCATAGTTCTCTTGTGTTTTCAATTCCAGTGAATACAGTAATTATTGATAATGTTGGTCCTGGAATATGAAACCTAATGCCAGTGTCTGATTAAATTTTGTCACAATGTGATCTGTATTTTTGTCATTGTAAGTGATCTTTTATCCCAGGTAATTCCAAATTGTCAATTTTGGGGTTGACACCTCTGCCGTAGCCTGAGCCAGTTAGGCGAAGCAGTAAAAACCCTAATGTTTGTGTTGGATAAAACACATCAGGTTTTTATGAGATTAGAACCCGAAACATATGAGGAAGTGTTTTATCTAACCATGTGCTAACAAAAACAAAAATCTGAAACAACATTTATGAACAATTTTTTGTTTCAGACATACTTTCTATGAAGCTAAGAAAACGGGTTAAAAATATTTCTTGCTGGTGTACATGTACTTGAAAAAGGTTGCAAATTCTATCCACTAAAATATAAAGAAGACATTTGTCATTTGAATTTACATCATTCCATGTATGTCCCATGAAGATTCATGTTAGTATGTGTCATCATAAGAGGTGACTATGCTTGACATAGGAGGCGACTAAAGGGATCGGCACGCTTACTTGGTTGATGCATGTCATCGATCCCAATTGCGTGGATCGATGCTCATGATGTCAATCACTGGATTGTCTGGTCCAAACTCGATTATTTACAGACCGCCGTCATATAGCTGGAATATTGCTGAGTGCGGCGTTAAACAACAAACCAACCAACCAACCCATATATGAGATTTAATCCAATCGGAGAACAATAGGATTACGCCACTAGAGGTTTATTAATCATACCTACATGTGTTGCATGACTTGTTTTCTGTTGTGATGACCAGGTTACAGGGAAGTTTAAAGGTGGGCACAACCCCTTTTCTCGAGGCTGCTGGCTCAACTGTAGTTATGCTCTCTGTGGACCACAGTGGCCTAAGTGAGTATGTTGATGTAGGTGTAGTCCCCACAGTGGCCTAAGTGAGTATGTTGATGTAGCTGTAGTCCCCCACAGTGGCCTAAGTGAGTATGTTGATGTAGGTGTAGTCCCCGCAGTGGCCTAAGTGAGTATGTTGATGTAGGTGTAGTCCCCGCAGTGGCCTAAGTGAACATGTTGATGTAGCTGTAGTCCCCCACAGTGGCCTAAGTGAGTATGTTGATGTAGGTGTAGTCCCCCACAGTGGCCTAAGTGAGTATTGATGTAGCTGTAGTTCATAACAGTGGCCTAAGTGAACATGTTGATGTAGCTGTAGTCCCCCACAGTGGCCTAAGTGAGTATGTTGATGTAGCTGTAGTCCCCCACAGTGGCCTAAGTGAGTATTGATGTAGCTGTAGTTCATAACAGTGGCCTAAGTGAACATGTTGATGTAGCTGTAGTCCCCCACAGTGGCCTAAGTGAGTATGTTGATGTAGCTGTAGTCCCCCACAGTGGCCTAAGTGAGTATTGATGTAGCTGTAGTTCATAACAGTGGCCTAAGTGAACATGTTGATGTAGCTGTAGTCCCCCACAGTGGCCTAAGTGAGTATGTTGATGTAGGTGTAGTCCCGGCAGTGGCCTAAGTGAGTATGTTGATGTAGGTGTAGTCCCCGCAGTGGCCTAAGTGAACATGTTGATGTAGCTGTAGTCCCCCACAGTGGCCTAAGTGAGTATGTTGATGTAGGTGTAGTCCCCGCAGTGGCCTAAGTGAGTATGTTGATGTAGGTGTAGTCCCCGCAGTGGCCTAAGTGAGTATGTTGATGTAGGTGTAGTCCCCACAGTGGCCTAAGTGAGAATGTTGATGTAGCTGTAGTCCCCCACAGTGGCCTAAGTGAACATGTTGATGTAGCTGTAGTCCCCCACAGTGGCCTAAGTGAACATGTTGATGTAGCTGTAGTCCCCCACAGTGGCCTAAGTGAGTATTGATGTAGCTGTAGTTCATAACAGTGGCCTAAGTGAGTATGTTGATGTAGGTGTAGTCCCCACAGTGGCCTAAGTGAGTATTGATGTAGCTGTAGTTCATAACAGTGGCCTAAGTGAGTATGTTGATGTAGGTGTAGTCCCCACAGTGGCCTAAGTGAACATGTTGATGTAGCTGTAGTCCCCCACAGTGGCCTAAGTGAGTATGTTGATGTAGGTGTAGTCCCCGCAGTGGCCTAAGTGAGTATGTTGATGTAGGTGTAGTCCGCACAGTGGCCTAAGTGAGTATGTTGATGTAGGTGTAGTCCCCCACAGTGGCCTAAGTGAGTATGTTGATGTAGGTGTAGTCCCCCACAGTGGCCTAAGTGAGTATGTTGATGTAGGTGTAGTCCCCCACAGTGGCCTAAGTGAGTATGTTGATGTAGCTGTAGTCCCCCACAGTGGCCTAAGTGAGTATGTTGATGTAGGTGTAGTCCCCCACAGTGGCCTAAGTGAGTATGTTGATGTAGGTGTAGTCCCCCACAGTGGCCTAAGTGAGTATGTTGATGTAGGTGTAGTCCCCCACAGTGGCCTAAGTGAGTATGTTGATGTAGGTGTAGTCCCCCACAGTGGCCTAAGTGAGTATGTTGATGTAGGTGTAGTCCCCGCAGTGGCCTAAGTGAGTATGTTGATGTAGGTGTAGTCCCACACAGTGGCCTAAGTGAGTATGTTGATGTAGCTGTAGTCCCCACACTGGCCTAAGTGAGTATGTTGATGTAGCTGTAATCCCCCGCATTGATCTCGACATCCACCCCAACTTTGAGCTATGATCTCACCATCCACCCCAACTTTGAGCTATGATCTCACCATCCACCCCAACTTTGAGCTATGATCTCAACATCCACTCCAACTTTGAGCTATGATCTCACCATCCACCCAAACTTTGAGCTATGATCTCGACATCCACCCAAACTTTGAGATGTGTGCTAACTGTCCATACCAACTTTGAGATGTGAGCTAACTGTCCATACCAACTTTGAGATGTGAGCTAACTGTCCATACCAACTTTGAGAAGTGAGCTAACTGTCCATACCAAGTTTGAGATGTGAGCTAACTGTCCATCCCAATCTGTAAAGTCTGTCTCCCTGCTCCTCCACACAGATTAGTTGCCTACATTCCCAAGACGAGGACAATACAGATCGAGTCGTCAAAGGTTACGTACGTGGCCGCGGACAAAGATGTGAAGCTCTACTCCGACGCCAGCTCTAACGGGATCCAGCGAGACGGGCGCTCAGTCAACAACAGTGTGAGTAGGCTATAAGGTTGTACACACTTTCAGTATCAGCATCCCACTTTGACATCGTCTACGTCACCGCTGCACTGTCGTAGTTGGGATGGAGTATGCACGGATGTAGTTGCAGACGTCGTAGGAGGGAGAGTATCTGTAAACATTACAAGTTTGTAGGGCTGTCGTTTTAATAAGCTAAACAGACTTGAAAATGTCTTCACTGCCTCCAAGTGTTTTCAAAAGAATTTCAGGATTTATGATAATTGGGTATAAAATTACCAGAAAAACTTTTTGTGGAGCCTAAGCCATAAGAATTACCAATTAGTTTTCTGTAATTGTTCAGTCCTCTTTTTGTTGAGAAAATTATTGTATTTTCTGTTTTGCAAAACATTTTGTTTTGGACATGACTGTTATTAGTTACATGTTTTATCCGATATCTAAACCAAGCCAAAACTCGCAAATAAGTTTTATATTTGTACTATGGTGAATATTTCCTAAAGACAGTTTATTCCTTTTTTGAGACTAATTCTATTGATTTAGCGCTATTGAATGACAGCCCTGGTGGTAAGTTATGTTGGACAATAAGGAGATATCTTTGCTGAATTCAATTTAAAGAGCTGTTGGTAAGATTCAAACCTTTAATTCTAGGTTCTATATTATTAAGCCTTGCTTGATTGTAATTTTTTAAAAGATGTTGGACATTAGGTCTGCCTTATTACATGTTAAAGTTAAACATGTGTCTTGATATTAACATATGAAGTCGTAATGTTTGTAAGATTTAGTAATGTTCTGGAACCATCAGAATATTAACAATGATACATTCAATTTATTGTTAATGGCACACTAACAACCTTTGTAACTATTATTTCTTTTGATGTAAATAATTAACCTCGGGTAAGTATTGTGTATGTTAAGTGTTAAACATTTTGTCAGTGTGTATTTCATTTCAAAGCGGGACTTTGTAAATGACTATTACACTTACTTTGACATGTCTGGGAATAGGATTCAATGACATCCTTGGTAAATATTTGAGTTTGAAGTATTGTCTCCTAGTATTTAAACCACGTAGTTGTATTTGCTTTACATATCTGCTATCCAGTCTTAAGTTGACATGGGGGCAGTGGGGTAGCCTTGTGTCAGCAGTGGCTTGTCACGCTGAAGACCCACGTTCAATTCCCAAAGTATACAGTGTGTACAATCTCAATAAAATCAGATTGCTTACTCCGATACAACACCTATCTGTGTGAATATTTGAGGACCGCTTCATAAAAGTCATGTCTGTTGATCCCTGAGCGAACTTTGACTGTTCAAACTAATTGAAAGATTAAGTTATATTATTAGTCTACATTCAAAAGTGGTCGTCTTTGTTCGTTTTAGAGATACAGAAATTATATATGTTGATCTGAATATTTCGCTCACTCATACCTTGGATTTAGAAGCCTCAACTTTTGCATGAGAATGCAACCTCTTATGTAGGTTCAAGATAGAGACATTAGATAGCAAATCTGAATACTTTGCTCACTCATACCTAGGCTTTAGAAGCCTCGACCCGTGAAAATCCGGGGTAGAATAGGCCTTCAGCAACCAATACTTGCCGTAAAAGGTGACTAAAGAGGCGACTAACGGGATCGGGTGGTCAGGCTTGCTGACTTGGTTGAAGCATGTCATCGATTCAAAATGTGTGGATCGATGCTCATGATGTCAATCACTGGATTGTCTGGTCCAGACTCGATTATTTACAGACCGCCGTCATATAGCTGGAATATTGCCAAGTGCAACGTTAAACCACACACATACACTTTAGAAGCCTCAACCTTCGCATGAGAACACAACCTCCTGTGGAGGTTTCCTCAGATCTTCACGCAGTCGGGAATCTCATCAGAGTAAAAGATCTGAGTTTACATGAGATTGCAATATGTGAAACCTGTTTCTGGTGTCTGCCTGACGTGATTTGGCTGGATCATTGTTGAAGGTGGAATAAATTCATACTTACTCCATCAATATTGCCAGTGGGGCGTAACACAATTTTGACATGGCTTGGGCCATGATATACTGTAAGAAATAGTCAGTGAATTGTTCGAAGTTTCCTGATGATTTATGATGTAATACCCCTTTCAATTGCCAAAAACACAGATATTACTGTCGAGTAACAAATATACTGATATGTATATTTACATTTGGATTTTCCTATCTTTTAAGAATTCAGTGGTAGATTTTCAGACTTACTATGAATGCATCACTTAACGTATCCATGTGGAATCTCATTTGTGATTATCAAGTTTCTTGAGCCCCATTCCATTAAGGTACTGGACCCTTTCGCTATTATGACTTCGTTTTGAGCCTGATTTTAATGTCAGGATAATACAAATAGCTGTCCAGTCAGCTAACACCAACGAGGGAGAGATTCTGTGCTGAGTTAGTGATAAGAGAGATCGACATAATGTTGCTTCAGAAATGGAGCTTTGGTGGCAATAGGGTCCAGGGTTTTTATCGTAATAAAATGGAGACATGATACAAGGGATATTCGAGCATGGTAGATTCTGGAAAAGAGTTGGTCTCCATGTCAAACTTCAGACAAGTGGGTCACAATGGCTGCGTTTTAGGACTAGAAGCGAAACATTCTCATTAAATCAGATCTCTTGCTCCGATATGATACGATGCCTCTCGAGATTTGAGGACACCAGAGATGGTCTCGTCAAGTGAACAGTGAGCAACTTTGGACCGTCCAATCTGTGTGAAGGATGAGAGGGTTTGAGCCAATCATGTTAACTTTCTGATAGGATTTGCTTCATTTCTTTACCACCTCAATGTGGACATTTTTATTTCAACAAATGAAAACCCTTGTAATTATCCTTTGTATGGTAGATGCCTCGGAACTCAGAAACGATAGGGTATATAAATATTTTATACAGACAGCGTGTATTAAATATCCACAACAGTATAACAGAAAAGCCTTCATTATGTACATAATGTTGAGATACAAACATCAGGTTTGCTGGTCTGAATGTGCTGCTCACTTGTACTGAGAATTTAGGACCTGTGAGGATCCGGGGTAGAATAGGTCTTCAGCAACCCATGCTTGCCGTAAAAGGCGGCTATGCTTGTCGTAAGATGTGACTAATGGCCTCGGTTGGTCTGGCTCGCTGACTTGGTTGAAGCATGTCATCGATCCCATTTTCGTGGATCGATGCTTATGATGTCAATCGCTATATTGTCTGGTCCAGATTATTTACAGACTGCTGTCACATAGCTGGAATATTACTGAGTTCTGCATAAAACAACAAACCAACCAAACCGAGACCTTAGAAGCCTCCACCCTTTCCATGCTGATTAGAAAGTGTTCTCAAATCTTCATGCAGAGAGGGATCGTATCGGAGTAAAAGATCTGATTGGAACTGAAACTACCAGGAAGTCCTGGCATCTGGTGTTCACTTGTTGAAAGCTTGTTTAGTCAAACTTTTGACCATGTTTGTGTGCACCTGGATCAATTACTGTTTAGCAACAGTTAAAAAACAGCTCTTTTGTATTCATTAACCATATGGCATAAAGGAGATAGCAGTGGACCATCCATCACACCACTATGAATGTTTTTAAAATTTTAGGAAAATTATAAAAATATTAAAAATGTATTAATGGTATAAATCCTTTCTTTTTATCATTGTTCAAGTATTAGTAATGTCTTTCAAATTGACAACTTAGTTTTCATGTGGTTTCATGCTGTTGGCCAGATGATTGTCAAAAACCTTTAAGAAATACAAATACAAATATGAGAACAATTTGTACTTATATATTACTGTCATTGGGGGGCACGGGTGGCCCAGTTGTCTTTGGCACCGCGATTCGCTGTGCAGAGTTGGAACCCTTGGGCTCTCCAGAAACCTATGATTGTGGGTTCGAATCCAGGTTCGCCCTAATTATGTTTCTAGGTTTGTTAGAACCATCCCCGTGCTCGTGGGTTTCATCGAAGTGGTAAACGTCTGAGACCTGCATCACTTTTGGCTTTCCTCCCACATTAAGCTGACACGCCGTGATATGACTGGAATACTGTTAAAAGCGGTGTTAAACGCAACTCACTCACTTACATTACTGTCATAGGCCTATGCTGAGGTATTGGAGTTATGACCACTTTAGAAGGGATCCCATGTAATGGTATTTTCAAAATTACTTTCAAATTGCACTGATTGAGAAATAAAAAATCTGGGCTTGGCACCTTTCTCAAAAGTAAAACCTATCAATGGAAAATGTGAGTGACAATGAGGTTAACTTGGTCAATATGGGGAACATTTTGTAGAACTCATTCTCCTCCACTGAAGTAAATAAACCTGTCCCAATCCTGACACAATAGCATTATCAGCCGTGTGACAAAGACTTGGGATTTATTCTGCTGTGGTAACAGCTGCCAGCTGGCTGATGCTGGGATGATTGTATTATCATATTATAACATCATTATTACTTGTTGGGGGATCCATAAACATTGTCACAGCTTTCTCTTTGCTTCATTGATAGCTGTTGCGCAACTTCTCGTCATCTATTTTCATGACTTACCTCCCCTTGCACTGGTTAACATTAAGTGAGACTGTGGAGAGGTATTCATGCTGATTTATGTAAATGATATCATCCATATGCATATTGAATATAATTTTTAAGAATTTGATTTCTGTGTTATTCATGATTCATAGTTCACATTTTCTATGCCTAACAGCGAAAGTGACGATTTTGAGCCAAAATCCAATTTTTTTGGAACTGTATTTCAATGGAATAAGAAGATAATCATTTTCAATGTAGATCTACAGGTATGTTACCCATTTCATGGAGCTAAATTGAATTTGGAATTGAACGCACAGCAGAAAGAAACCTGATGTGTAAGGTCAGGAATAATGGATGACCAAATTTTGTAGTGTTCCCATCCATACAGCAATATGCTGGAACTCTAAGATGTTCTAACTTGCAAATGTAAACATGAAAGAATGTTATAAGTTACACTCTGAGATCAACTCTTTCAGGTAATCAAGGTGATG